GAGAGCCCCAAGATAGCTCCCGGAGGCTCCTAAGAAGGCTCCAGGAGGCCGCCAAGAGAGCCCCAAGACGGCCACAGGCCTCGAAGAGGCCCCAAGACGTCCCAAAAGGTCCCAAAACGGCTCAAGAGGGCCTCAAGACAGTCCAAACGAGCCCCTACTAGGCCCCAAGAGGACGGCCCAGACGACCCAGGGACGCCAAATAAAGAGTGATTGGTAACGCAGAAAGCTCTCCACGCCAAGGCTCCCAACGGCGAAAGCGGGGAGAGACGGTTTTATCCCGATACCAGTAAGACGGCCCAAGAGGGCCCTCTCTTGGCGGCCTGTAGGGGCTCTTTTGGCGGCCTCTTGGGGCTCTCTTGGGAGGCTCGTGGTGCTCTCTTGGGCCACTCTAGGTGTCGTCTTGGGGCCCTCTCGGGCCGTCTCGGGGCCCTCTTGGCCAGCCCCCAAAAGGCCTCCAAGAGGTCCATTCCCAAGAGGCTGAGGCGGAAGGAGGGGGGAAAGGGAGGATGGATGGGGAATGAGGCAGATGGAGAGAAGGAGGAGGAGGAGGAGGAGGAGGAGGAGGAGGAAGATGAGGAGGAGGAGGAGAGGAGGAGGAGGAGGAGGAGGAGGAGGGGAGGAGGAGGAGGAAGAGGGGGAGGAGAGGAGGAGGAGGAGGAGGAGGAGAGGAGGAGGAGGAGGAGGAGGAGGAAGAGGTGGAGGAGGAGGAGGAGGAGGAGGAGGAGGAGGAGGTGGTGACAAGTCGTTCAACGCCACGGCTCTCAAGAGCGAAGGGTAACGCGAAAAACTCTTAACGCCAAGGCTACCGCTAAGAACGATGACGTAACGAGCTTCGAACGCCAAGGTCGCGATTACGCACAGTGGTGTGAGACATCGCTTCCAGCGCCAAGGCTTTGATTACGCACAGTGGCGCGGGCGATCGCGGGCAAGTTCTTGAAGCGCTCTTTCCGTTCCCGTGCCAGCCCAGGTAACGGAGAGAGCGAGGTTCGAGTGATGACATTGTGTGTTGGGCGAAGCCCCTTAAGGGGGGGTTCCAGGGGGGGTGGGTAGCGCGAACGAATGAGTGTTAATGGCCGTTTTCGTTTTTGTTTGTTCTTTTTTCCTATGGTTTTTTGCATGTTTTTTGGGTTCCCCCCCAAGACGGTCCAAGAGCGCTCCAAGAGAGCCCAAGACCGCCCAAGACGGCCCAAGAGGCCCCCAAGAGGCCCCCAAGAGGCGCCCAAGGGGTGTCCAAAGAGGGCCCCAAGAGGCCAAAATCCTAGATTTCCCATATGAAGACGTATATTTTCAGCATATATACGGCTTTTCGGTTTTCACGGCGTGGACGACGGCCCAAGGGGCCCCCAAGACCGCCCCACGACGGCCCAAGAGGCTCCCCAGAGGCCTCCAAAACGGCCCAAGATGGCCCCAAGACGGCCCAAGAGGCGCCCAAGACGGCCCAAGAGGGCCCCAAGACGGCCCCAAGAGGGGGACCACGAACCGAAAGGTCTAGCCTTTCGCCCCAAGATGCTCCCAGGAGGCCCCCAGATCCCCCCAAGAAGCCCCAAGAGGCCCCCAAGAGGCGTCCCAAGAGGCCACTCAGAGGCCAAAGCATGGATTTCCTATGGGATAAGGTAGTTTTTTAGCATACACGGCTTTTCGGCTTTCACTGCGTTGAAGACGCTCCAAGAGGCCCCCAAGACCGCCCCAAGACGGCCCAAGAGGCTCCCGAGAGGCCCCCCAAACGGCCCAAGAGGGCCCCAAGACGGCCCAAGAGGCGCTCAAGACGGCCCAAGAGGGCCCCAAGACGGCCCCAAGAGGGGGACCACGAACCGACAAGTCTAGCCTTTCGCCCCAAACTCGTCCCAAGAAGCCCCAAGAGGCCCCCAAGAGGTTCCCAAGAGGCCTTCACAAGGGCTCCGAAAAGGGCCCCAATAGGACTCCCAAGAAGGCCCAGAGACGCAAAATACAGAGCGATCGGTAACGCAAAAAGCTCTTCACACCAAGGCTTCCAAGAACGAACGGTGACGTAAATAAGCTGATAAGACCAAGGCTCCCAGCAGAGAGCGGTGACGTAACAAATTCCTGACACCAAGGCCCAGCCAAGGCTCAGGAACGGGCGGCAACGCAACAATCTCTGAACACCAAGGCTCCCAAGAGCGAGGGGTGACGTAACAAGCTCTCAACGCCAAGGCTCCCGGTATGAACGGTGGTGTGAGTAATTTCGGTTCCTGTTCCTGAAGCGCTCTTTCCGTTTCTGTGCCGGGCCAGGTCTAGTGGCCGTCGGCCAATCCCGCCACCGTGGCCAAGTAGTTTGTCAGAGGTGTCTTGGATGCCTGCTGGGGTTTCTTGGGGTACCCCTCCAGAACTTCTTGGGATGCTTTCCTTCTGGATGCAGTACGATTCGAGCGGCACCCAACTGGTACAATGTGGGTCATATTGATCCCTCTCTCGTGCGCGGGTTGCGGGTCAGAGGCCTTCTCGGGGGCCTCAAGAGAGTGTCTCCCTTTTGGATGACTCTTGGGAACCTCTTGTGGCCTATCGGGAGCATTTTTGGGGGCCTCCTTTTGGGGCCTCCTGAGGGCCTGCGGGTCCGAGGCCTTCTCGGGGGCCCTCGAGAGGGCGTCGCCGTCTTAGATGGCTCTTGGGAGCTTCTCTTGGGGCCTCTGGGGGGCCTCCTTTAGTAGGCCTCTTGGGGGCCTCTTCGGGGCCTTTGGGGGGCCTCTTGGGGCCCCCCTGGGAGTCTCTTGGGCGCCTTTGCCTTCCCCCTCGGGCCCTTCTGGTGGGACCACCTTGGGCCGCCTTGGGGCCGACTTGGGCTGTCCTGGGGCCTTCTTGGGCCGTCTGGGGGCCCTCGTGGGCTTCTCGTGGGCCGTCTTTGGGCGATCTTGGGGGCCTCTTTCGGGGGATGAAAAAACGGCCCTACCCTGGGTTATAAGTGCGTGGTCTGTAAACCTCCTGGGAACCCCCAAAGCCTAGAGCCGCCAGGACGCGGCACATCACGCAGGGTTCACCCTGTCAGCCCACAGGAGTTTCAGCGCACAGCGCCTCGTAAACCAGGGTAGGGGCGTTTTTTATGCCCTTGACTCTTGGGCCGCCGTGGAGCTTCGGAAGCTAGAAGAGGCAAGCCCCCCCCGAATCGCTGAAAGACCTGGGGACAACCGTGCTCTTGGCCCCTCGGGGCCCTCCGCCTCTCGGACCCCTGAGTGGGCGCCTGGAGGCCACCCTGGGCGTCTCGGGGTGCTCTTCGGGCGCCTCGGGGCGCCCTTGGACCGTCTCCGAGGCTATCTGGGGTCGTTTTCTTATTCATTGTTTTGCCGACCGGTGCGGGCCATGTCGCTCAATGTCGAAACGCCGACTAAGAAAACGTTCACATTGGGGTCCTCGTGGGCTGTCTTGGGCCACCCTTGGCCCCGAACAGCTCGTGCGCGAAGGCCCAGAAGCGCCCTAGAGCGCCTAAGAGCGCCCGGGAGTGCCCGACAGCGCCCGGATCCCGCGCTTTTCCCTGGCATCGCCGCGTTCTCCCTGGATCTTCAGAAGCCCTGCGAGATAGCCCCAGACGTGACAACAGGGCCCCCAGACCGCCGAAGTAGGGATCGACGAGCTCAAGATAGCTCATGACGGGCCCCAGTGCGTTCCCAAGATAGCCTCAGGGTTTCCTTCCACTGTTTGTTGAATGTTGATTGTCTTCAGGTCCAGAAAGAATCTCACGACGGAAGACAGAATCGTATTTGGGTCAGGCTTGGGAAAGCCCACAGGCCCCTCAGAGGCGCCAACAGCGTGTCAAAATGCCGCAGGAGGCAGCTTCAGATGCACCACAGACGGTCTCAAGAGGACCCCAGGAGAGCCCCCAGGGGTCTAAGAGACCCCTAGTGGTTTTGGCGACGCCCCAACAGATATTCACAACGGGCCCAAGAGTCTCAGAAAACTTAAATTGTTACGGGCGCAGCTGTCTCAAGCGTCCCTTATGCTCTCTCCGAGTTGCCTTGAGCCACTCTGCGTGGTTTTGTTGTAGTCTCGTGAGACAGTTTGGGTGGAGAAGGAGGCGGAGGCGGAGGAGGAGGAGGAAGAAGAAGCATAAGACGAAACAGAAGACGAATACTAATAATACTAATACTAATAACAACAATAATAATGATAATGACAACCATAAGAACACTCATACTATGAGGAATACGGAACATAATCATAATAATCAGAAGAGTAGTAATAATACTTTTAATACGTATAAGAAGAATGGTAGTACTAACACCAATGATAATAAGCCGAATAATCATAATACGACGAAGAAGAACAACACTAATAATACTAAGGCGACCAATACTAGTACTAAGACAAATAATACGAAACCCAATACTAATACGAAGAAAGAGAGGAGGATGGAGGATGGAGGGTGGAGGGTGGATATTGGAGGATGGAGGATGGAGGATGGAGGAGGGAGGAGGGAGGAGAGAGGAGAGAGGAGGGAGGAGGGATGAGGGAGGAGGGAGGAGGGAGGGGGGGAGGGGGGAGGGGGGAGGAGGGAGGGGAGGAGGGAGGAGGAGGAGGAGGAGAGGAGGAGGAGGAGGAAATTTTGGTGCGGGCCGCGGGCCTCCATCAATTTTGGTCACCAAGACTGTTCTCCGTGACATGTCCTTCGCGAGTGCGCTCGGCCAGAGCCCTAGCGCGCGAGAAGCACGCGCGTGGTTCTAGCGTTTGGATGGGCAAAGCTGTATGCAGTGCCCCTTCTGCGTTTCGTCTTCCAGTTGTGCCGCTGCTCCGCCCCTCTCCTCTCCTCGTGCTCTTCCATTTGGCGCCACTCACCTGGAGGCGTCGTCCAATCCAGGATGAGCCTGTCTACGATTGAGCTTTTACTTCGGGTCATGACGCTCTGGTTTGACACTCGAGGGCTTTGCGCGCCTTCCACAGTCGAAGGACTATCGAACGAGAGGTGCAGCGCGGGGCGGACGAGGAGGACGAGGGCGGAGCGGTGGGGCGAAGGGGGGGGGGGCGAGGACGCCGAGGGGCTTCTCTGGCCCGAG